CTCCCCCCCGACAATTGCACCTGAAAACCTTTCTAAGCTTGTTGATGGAGCAGAACAAAAACCACTTTATTTTAGGACTTTGTTCTTCCAAAAGAATACAATTCTTTTCATGCCCAAGGTCTCTTATTTCCCTTCCCATTTCCTCTTTGTTAGATTGTATTAAACATGCAATGATTTCTTCCTATTCTGCTACTTATTCCTACCCTGCCACCAGCTCTTCTGCTGTGAGGAGACAAGTATCCACGCAGCTGAAGAGCAACCTGCTTTAGAAAGCCAGTGCAAGTGAACAAGAGAAAGCATCTCCCTAGCCAGGTATCTTCCCCATGCCTGCCCACTGTACAGCCTCCCAAGCACTCGCACTGGAGCGATGAAGGCAGAAGCACTCTGACAATTCAGCAGCCAGGGAAAGAAAGAAACTGCTCAAATGGGCAACACCACTATAAGCACGTACGGAACTACATATGGCTCACATGTTGACTGCTGTGAACTCCATTCTGAAGGAGGCACCTCTCCTCTTGCATACTGCACAGAGCCTGGAAATGGTCTCTAGTCACACCCAAATCAAACCGCAGGCTAAAAGGGGCAGCCCCATTCTCCCTCTTGACCTGCAGGCATATTTGACCTGGTGCACACTTAAACGTCCTGCAGCATCAGCCCAATCAGCTTGTTGAAATGCTGGATAATGAATTCAACATCAACAGAAAGGGAATTGCCTCAAGAGTGACAGTGGGAATGCCTGGCCAGGAGAAGCACAGCTGCTGTTTCAACAGGGACTATAGTTAGGCTGGATTACACAAACTGAAGCTGCAAAACTAATAAGAACTGTCAGTTCCACCTCTGGAGGAGATGCCTGGGAGTTTGAGACTGTATATTCCACATTCGCAATTAAATGCCAGACAAAATTAGTTTTAATTATACTTCAAATAATTAAATCTTGTTGCAAGTGCCCCATGTCTTCTGAAGATCTGTTTATTTGGCTAATAGTTTATTTAACATTCTACCAACAG